GTGTTGGGGTGGTGGGAGGGGAAGGGGAAAGGAAAGAAGGGAAAGGAAAAATTATGAGAAAAGAAAAAAAATGGAAACGAAATCTATGTAAATAGGGAAGGGTGGAGGGGGTGAAGGGCACACGGGTAATGGGGCAAAAAATAAGAACCAAGATTCATCATGTACAGGTACAAGCATCCAATGATAAATGTAAATGTATTGTATACCTAAAATGTACTAATAAAAAAATTTAAAAGAAAAAAAATCAGAACCATCACTAGGAATATCCATTATTGAAACATGCCTTGTATCATAGAGAAGTTACATCTCAGCTCAGAGTTCTGGCCTGTTCACTAAACAGTCTGAGCTTCTTGTGTTCTTGGGTCCGGTTTTAAGATTTTTTTCACCTCTGTTAAGCTCTCTGCCTACCCTTTTAAATTCTACCAGTGTGTGTTACCTATGGAAACTTAAGCCACCTCTGATCTGCTATTTCTAATCTATTTGAACTGGAAAACCTAATAACTACACTCAGTAGGACTGTTTCTTAAATAAGTGTGGTCGTCTACTAATAAATTAAATGCTTGGCTTTTGGGGGTCAGTTTGGTGTTATTTTGTTGCTTCTAAGATTATTGCCCCCATCTGTTGTCCAGATTTGTTCGTTTTTTTGTTTATTTTGTTGTGGTGGTGGTGTTTGTTTTTGAAGTGCTAAGGATCGAATCCAGGGCCTCACACATGCTAGGCCAGTACTCTGCTGTTGAGCCACATCCTCACCCCTACCTAGTTGTTTTTTGTTTTGGGTTTTTTGTTGTTGTTGTTGGTACCAGGGATCAAACTCGGGTCCTTGAGCTTGGGGGAGCAGGCGGAAGCACTGTGCTAAATCCCCAGCCCTTGTTTTTTGTTTTCATTTTTATGGGACTGGAGGTTGAACTCAGGACTTTTACACTGAACTGCATTCCCAACCTTGTTTTATTTTTTGAGACAAGGTCTCACTAAGTTATTAACTTGCCCAGGCTGGGCTAGAAATTTGATCTTCCTGTGTCAGCCTCCCAAAGTTCTGGGATTACAGGTGTGCACCACCATGCCCAGCCCACGTTGTTTTTAACCACCCTAATGTCCCCAATGGCAGAAGTATCATGTAAAGAGGAAAGCTCATTAAGGAAAGGCTGCAGGTGGCCCCTAAAGGCCTTTTCAATTCTGAAATGATGTGATTCTATGTTTTTTTTAAAAGCAAGGTGTGAGCCCTTTGTGACATTGAGGTGGAGCTGATAGCATTGGTAAACAGGGAAGGGGACAGCACCTGCAAGGTCAGCCCACAACGTCCTCTGGGCCTAGCCCCGGGTCCAAGGCAGTGGCAGAAGAAGGGTGGTGTCACACTGACCTGTTAGGAGACCAGAGACCAGACCCATCGCCAAAGCAAAGCTGAGAGCCCCAGTGTCCATGAGCATCATGAAGCCAGTCCTAGAAACAACAAAGCACCAGGCTGTAGAGGTCATCAGGGATGAAAAGGACTGAGAGTATCAGTAGTACCACTGCAGGAGGGACTACAAGGAGACCAAGGGTCCTCTCCCCGGGGGTATGTCCCATGCAGACAGGCAGTGGGGGAGGCAGGAAGGGTCCCAAGATCCTGTTTGGCATATTTTAATCTTCAGACCCCAGGGATAATAAGATAGACCAGGAGGCAGAAGACCCAAGTTCAAGACTCAGCCTTGTTGTTGACTGGCTGCGTGATCCTGGCCAGTCGCTTAACCCCTCGGAGCCCAGTTTCCTCAGTAGCCAATTAAAGATGAAGGTATGGGCAAGACAAGGTATGGTTTGGCTATCAGAGCCATCTGCCCTGCCCTGCCCACTCCTACCTCTGGAAAGTACTTCCCGGTGCCCTTTCTCTCAGGGCCATCCAGAGCATCATTTGCAAAATTAAGCTATGTATTAAAGGGACCCTCGGTGCTGAGTGCGATTTTCCCAAGATTTAGCCTGTGCCTAGGCACTGCTACCCCTTCATTACAGCGCTATGGGTAATTGTACAAAATGAGTCCGTTTTTAAGCCTTTCCTCTTTCTTATTGCAACAGCACCACAGGCAGCTAGGCAGTTGGTATCCCCATTTTGAAGATAAAGCACAGCTCAGAGCCTGCAGAAGGACACTACCTTTTTCTCCTTCTTTCCTCCTCCTCCTCCTTCTTCCTTCCTCTTCCTCTTCCTTCTTTTGCAGTACTGGGGCTTGAACCCAGGGCCTTTGCACTGAGCTACATCCTCAGACTTTCTTACGATTTTTTTTTTTTTTTTGAGAAAGGGTCTCACTATGTCATGAAGTTGTCCAGGTTGGGCTTTAACTTGTGATCCTCCTGCCCTCCTGCCTCACCTTCCCGAGTGTTGAGATTTCAGGCATGTACCACCACACCCAGCTCAAAAAAGATTCTTAAGGGCTGGGGATTTAGCTCAGTGGCACTGTACCTGCCCTGCAAGTACAAGGTCCTGAGTTCAATCCCTGCTACCTCTCCCCAAAAAAGATTCTTAAACTGGACATAAAACAGCTAAAATAAAGAGAACAGTGATGAATTGGACTACATTAAAATTAAGAACTTGTGTTATCAAAAGATATAAGAAAGTAAAAAGTAACTTACAAAAATAGGAGAACATAATATATATATAACAAAGGGCCTACATTTAGAATATATAAAGAATTCTTAGTTGGGCATGGTGGTGCATGCCTGTAATCCCAGCACTTGGGAGGCTGAGGCAGGAGGATCACTGCAAGTTTGAGGCCAGCCTGGCCTACATAGTGAGTTCAAGGCCAGCATGAACTGCACAGGAAGACCTTGTCTCAAAAAAAAAAAAATCTATAAGGAAAAGAACAACACAATAGAAAAATGCCCCAAAGAACTTGAACAGGCATTTCACAAGATATTCTTTCTTTTCTTTTTTTTTTTTTTGTAGCATTGCGGATGGAACACAGGACCTCATGCATGTTAGGCAAGTGCTGTACCACTGAGCTATATCTTCAGCCCATTTTTTAACCTTATTTTGATGAGATCAGGCATTCTCAGGGTGGTATGGCCATAGACTTTTACTTTAATTTGACACAGGGTCTTGCTGTGTTGCCTAGGCTATCCCCCTGCCTCAGCCTCCAGAACAGCTGGGATTACAGGTGCGTGCCACCACCAGCTACTATAGTGTTCCTTTTAATTAGTCATTAGGAGAATTAAAATTGAAGCAATAGGTTGATGGCTACATGAAGGCTTTTCCTATATTAATTTATTAAATTCTCTTAACCATATAGGACAGGCATCAAGCAGCCTTCCAACAACCCCAGGGACAGAGGCACCATCACTCTCTTCATTCACATTGGGGAAGCCAGGGCTGTGGCAGGTCAGTGGTGTCCCACCAGGCAGTGATGAGAACTGTTTCAAGACCAGCCTGACTCCACAGTACAAGCTCTCCACTTTGACCTCAACCACCATCGTGTACAAAACTGACCCAGTGAGCTTGAGGCTGATCTACCTGGCCTGTCTTCGTTTGTGCAGCTCAGGACTTTGTGCCTCTGCCCAGTAGATTAAGCAGCCGCTTTGGGGAAGAAATGGCCTGGAGGAGTGATAATGCCATACAAGGTGAGAATTTCTGAGTGAATCAGCCAACAAAAATTTGCTGAGGCCCTTACCAAGTGTCTGTCCCTAAACGCATTTCCCCTCCACAGGGATCTGGGGTCATTTGCTACCAAGCTACACAGGTGTGAAGGGCAGGGCCTAGCAACTCACCCAGGGTTTCCGGAGGCTTCAAGCACTATCAGCACAATGTAACTGAACCCTCCCAGCAGACCTGGCAAGCCAAAAGTGTAGTGCACGCCACTGGGGTCCTGAATCTCCAGCACGTGGTTAAAACACACCTGGGGACAAATGTCATTATGTGTAGATCTGCAAGTGAGACCCAAATTCCCTCTCCACCCTTTTCACAGATCTTTGGCATCCAAAACCACCAAAGGGGAGTAACATGAAGGTTTGCCCAAGAAGTCCTCCTCAGACTTGAACACGCACCACCGGGAAGCCATGTTACGGTCCAGAAAAGGAATCCATGGGGTGAGGCGGGGCCTCAGGTACTGCACTTCTAACAAGCTCCTAAGTGAGCCCATGCTATTGATCCACACTCTTAAGCAGCAGGGGTCTGGTCTAGGCACAATTCACATTCAAAGCTGATACTTCTGTGTTTGGGATGGAGACAGGGGCTATCCTGTGACAGAAGGATGTGTAGGACGTTTAACAGCATCCCTGGCTTCTACTTTCTAGATTCCAGTAGCACCCCACCTAATTGCAACAACCAAAAAGTCTCCAGATAGTATCAACTGTCCCTTGGGGTGGGGTGGAGTAAACACTGGTCTAGCCACATTTAAGTGCCATCATTAATAAAACATGGCTGATGAGATGAAAAGTCAGAAGAAAAATACCTGACTGCACCCAAGATGCTTTTTCAATGCTCCTTCTACCTGTTCCCTCAGTCAAATGCAAATTTCATTGTTCCCTCCTTAGAATCCTCATTGTCTTCAGAAAACAAACCCAGATTTCTCACTAGTCCAGAAGATAGGCCTGAGCACCGCCTATCTTTCCAGGCTGTGGTCCCACCAGGCTGGAGGGTGACCCCAAAGCTTTGGCCAGAATATCTCTCTGTTTCTTGGTTGGAACACATGCTTTCCTCATCAGTCTTTGTACACCCTGCTCCTTCTGCTTGGAATATATTTCCCACTTCCCTGCCTGGCTAATATAGCTTATCTGTCACTGCATGGCTTGGATGTCCTATGCTCTGGGAAGTATTTCCTGACTTGTCCTGGTCTAGCTTAGATGTGCTCCTGCAGCTGTTACCATACTGCCTTGTATTTATTTGTCCATTGCCTTCACTAAACTGTAGCTTGAGAAACAGGGTAAGTGTTAACATATTTGGTGAATAAATGAATGAATGAATGATCTTTGAGTAAAATCCCCTCCCTCTTCCCATGACAGAGTCAAAGAGAACTGAGGCACCAAGAAAGCAATGGACACTGAGTCAGATGGTAACTTGCCAGCATTCTTTGCTCTGTATGTCCTCCTTCATCTCAGGGGTTCAAAGCCAGAAGAGATAAAAGACATTTGTTCTCATTGTACAGATGAAAAGCAGACTGCCTTATCTTTGAGCAAATCAAACTGTTGGTAAATTCTTCTTTGAGTCTATACTGACTTCCTGAATATCCACCATTTATCCAAATTCAGCCTTCAAAAGTCTACTTGTTTTTCCTTCCAGTGCTATAAGATTTCTTGTCCCTAAATGTTTCTCTTAGAAGCACATTATAACCAGTTGGCTGTAATGGATGTTCTGGTATAATCAGTTGTGTATTAAAGGAAAACCCACTTGAAGAAGTAAGCCAATCAGAAATGGACATGACCTGGATCATCAGCCTGGCACTGTCTCCTCTTGGTGCTTATCCTTCCCTACCCCTCTACATGGCTCACTGGCAACAGACCTGAATGTGTGGCCTGCCCCTACACCCCAGTCCAAAATGACACATTTCCCAAATTAAGCCAAGGAGCCCCTTCTCCAGAGGATTTGGAATTGGCTACTTTCTTGAAGCAAAAGACCAATTCTCCTACTTGGTGCAGGAGAAGAGGCAACAGGTCTACAGAACCAGAATAAATCAGATGTTCAGAAAGAGCAGAGACTTCTTAGCATTGCTCCACAAATTAGTCCCTGGCACCAGCCACTCCTAGGTTCCTAGCAGCACCTCTACCTTGGGTTCTATGATACCCTAGTTGCCTTACAACAAATTCCCTGTCATGCCCAAGCAAACTTGAATGGATCATCTTACTTGTTCCTCAGCACCGTAACAAATGCACCATCCATCTATAGTGGGTCCCTCATCAGACTTTGAAGCTGATCAGAGAAAGTGCCAACACCTACCTACCTAATGCAGCCCATGGCACCCATGATGGCCCACCATAAACCCAGGGTCCTATTGGTCTAAGCCAGAGGAGTGGGTATTAGTTGCCCAATTTCTCACCGACAGGCATCTGGCTCCCCCGATGGAGATCAGCCCAGCCAAAAGGCCCAGCACCATAGCAATCCAAGGAGAGGAAATCAGATGACATGAGGCACCCACAGCCACACCTCCTGCCAGTACCGCATTGTGGATATCAGTCTGCAAAGAAATAGCTTATGGATGAATGGAGTGAGGCGCAGAAAGGACATCATCCTGCCCAGAATTTCTCAACAAGCTGGTAGAGAAGCAACCCTGTAAAACCTTCCTACTTTACTGACCCTGAAACCATCACCCTCTCCTTGGTTGGGACCACATGACCTTCATCCTTGGGCTCAACTCACCCCCACCTCTCAGGTACAGGCAGCAGTCACCTGATTGGGAAACAGAACTGGCACTGGGGGCAGAAGGAGACATGAGTATGTGTATTAGGCCTGGCACACCCAAGTGCTGCCCAAGGGGTGGTCCCTTCTTACCACGTTGATCTTCCCTTGGTGGTGATTCAAGGCTGACACCGAGGTGGCTGTCACTGTGCTGACCGCAAGGGCGTAGTAGGTGTTGAACACAGCATTCTTTTTTTCATTTGGAAGGTCCAGCAGAGCAGAGTTGAAACTTGGCCAGAACATCCACAAGAACAGGGTCCCTGTGGGCCAGAGAGCACCGCTGGCCAGAGCCAAACTCTTGCTCCAAAGCCCTGAGCCTCCAGGGGCTTCAGAGGAGGAGAATCCTACAGCTGGCTGGTCTCAGCATGGTCACTATGTAGCTGCATAGCTTGGGGCAAGTCATGTCTCCTCTCTGAATTTTCATGTTGGTGGGAACCAGCTTACATATTTTACAAGCAAGAACAATAAGGCCTAAGGATCTCAGGTCTCCTGACTCCAGTCTGTAATGGCCAAATGCTTATTTTTTTAAATCAATATACTGCTTTAACTGGGCCCTATGGGCTGATATTTATGCACCTACTGTTGGCTGTCTGATTCTCCTCCCAGCCTCTCCCAGTCATCTATACTCATCATTTTCGCCGCAGCTCTGCAAAATGCATTATTACTATTCTCTTTCTACCCCTGTGCTTACTCATAGACCCTGCTTTCTTCATTTTTCTACTTTCCTGTTTTCAGCTGAGGACCAAAGGATTGGATATATGTATTCAGACTCAAACAAAAGAAGTCTCTCCTGCCGATGGCATATTAATGAAGAGGGGTCCCTAGAAGGAAATGTTTAATCCAAAGATATGAATTCAACAGACATTCCTGCAGATAAAGGGCCCTATGGAAAGATTCCAGGCACTTGGGGAAGAGGGTAATGGACAGACTTTTCAGTGGGACATTTTCTGGACCTCTTGGCTCTGCCCTAGCAGGAGACCACCCCCCCACCTTGTCCTTACCCAGCATGGCAAACAGACTGGGGCTCGTGGCCATCTGAACTTTCTCTGCCTGCACTTCCTTCTTTGCTTCCTTGGGAAGAGAGCTTGAGAGGCACCAAGCCGAAGTCAGTCCAAAATAGGCTGCAAACACATGGATGTGCGTCATGCTTCTGTGGTCATCCATCTGCATTGAAAGGTAGCAGGAGCCATGAGTGTCCACTCTGCCCCCGTCAGCCCTGACGTTCCTGTGAGAAAGCTCTGTGCTTCATGTAGGAGGCTTGACTTGAAGGCATGAGACCTATCCAGAGCTGATCCAGCCCAGCAGCCAGCGTTCCCCTTCAGAGGAGCCCAAGAGCAACTGGGGGTGACCTCATGGTCTTTATCAGTAGCTCCTACTTGCTGTTGACTGAGGTTCACTTAAATTGGGCAAAAAGCCACATAGACACACACCTACTTTTCAGCAGAATTTCAACTCTGCATGGAGTGATGAACAATATAAACTCTGTGATGTGAAGCAGCCAGACTTCTTATAATACCAAACTCAAGACTTTAGTAAATTCTAGACACATGCTAATTTTGCTCCATGAATAGCAAGTTTAGCAATCCTTAAGAACTCACTTAGTGGGCTACTGGTAAAGGCTGTCATCTGTGCCTTCCAAAAATATTCAGAACTGGCAGAATTTGTACCACCACCCCACATTGGTTGAAGCCCCCATCACTGCTACCACAAATTCCTGCAATAAGTCTTGTTCTTGCTACAAGCCACAGGAAGGCCCTGCACAATCTGCTCTCACAGAGACCTCTCTGACCTCACCTCCTCCCTCACAGCACCCTTCTTTCCATGTTCTCCTCTCTCTTCCTCACTTGAAGTCTGACCAGCCAGGTCATCCAGCCTCTTAGAATGCTCTTCCTGCAACAGAGGCAGAACAAGGCCAGGGTGCAGGGAGTGTCTGCCCTGAGTGCAAGCAGCAAGGAGATGCATTGTCTGTGGAGGATTCCAAACTGTACTAAAGCCAATCAATAGTCCATCCATTTTAATTTTTCTGATGCAGGAGATTCAACCCAGGGCATTCACATTGAATTACATTCTCAGCCCTTTTTTTTTTTTTTTGCCTTGAGACAGGGTCTTGCTAAGTCACTAAGTTGTCCAGAATGGGCTCAAACTTTCCATCCTCCTGTCTCAGCCTCCCAGAGTGCTCGGATTACAGGCATGCACCGCCATACCCAGCTCCCTTCACTTTTTATTATTGTGATGTGTCAATACTTTTAAACACCACTGGCAATAAAGTACTCTGGGCAGATGCAATCTACTCACCTGCCCGGCTGCGGGATGTCCCTGTTCTCAGACACCCTGTAGGGTGTGCACTTGTCCTTCAGGTCTGTCCTCAAAAGTTATTTACTCATTGAAGCCTTCCTTGCCCGCTCTATCTAAAATTTTGTCACCTACTCCAACTCTTCCTATGTTCTTTCTCTGTTGCAGTTTTTCTCTGTAGTATTTGTCACTATCTAACATGCCAAATCCCTTACCTATTTTACTGTTTACTGGCAACTTTCCTTCTGGAATGGAAGTTCCATGAGAGTTGTAAATTGGCACTGCCACACAAGTTCCTGGTACATAATAGGTTCTAAATAAATCTTTGTGAAATGGCTGAATGATGCTTGTAAGGAGCCTTTGGTCATACGGAAAGATGCAGTCTATGTGTGAGAACTGAAAAATGGATTTTTAAAAGCTCCACGAGGGCCAGGGATTTAGCTCAGTGGTGCCACACCTGCCTGACAAGTGCAAGGTCCTGAGTTTGATCTGGGTGTTGGAGGGTGGGAAAGGATGCTCCATGAATACTGTTTTCTCCACTGACATGACTCTCATGCTGGCTCTAGTTCTCCCTGAGCCCTTCCAATGAGCAAACCCAGGCTAAAGCTTTAAGGACAGTGAACTCTCCAAATCAGTGGTAAACTTTTCCCAAACCAGTTAAACCAAGTTTAAGTTGAAGAGAGAAGAGATGGCATTAGAACAATGCAGCCTTTTAAACTGTTGGTTATAAAGACCATATCAAAATTTGAAAGGTTCTGCAGGGCATGGTGGTGCATGCCTGTAATCCCAGCACTTGGGAGGCTGAGGCAGAAGGGTCTCTGTGAGTTCAAGGCTACCCTGAGCTACACAGTGAGTTCAAGGCCAGCCTGAAATACATAGCAAGACCTTGTCTCAAAAAAAAAAAAAACAATTGAAAAGGTTTGTAGTGCACAGCTCACAGTGACTGTTTCCTCTCTCAGATGCACTCTGCTCCATTTCAGTACTGGGGATTGAACCCAGGACCTTCACACTAAGATACATCCCCAGTTCTTTTTTTATATTTTATTTTGAGACAGGGACTTACTACATTGCTAAATTGCCCAGCTGGTCTCGAACCCTCTTCTTGAAGGCCATCCATGTCTAACTGTGTGGACATCTTCCATGCCAGTCTCAGCTCTGGGACCCAAGTAGATGAACTACCCAATGGACTAATCAGATTCCCTCTCCCTGGACTCTAGAAAGGAAACCAAGAGAGAAGACGGCTCTTTCTGCAAGATGTGAGACCTAGAAATGAGGGAAAAAATGGAAAGGTTGGGGTGGAGAAGATATATTTTTCACTAAAGAGAAAGTTCATATGCAGAGAGGAATGGAGCCAGAAGGTGGAATTTTTTTTTTTTTTTTTGGTACCGGGGATCAAACTCGGATCCTTGAGCTTGGAAGGCAGGTGGCAGAACCACTGAGATAAATCCCCGGCCCCCACCTGGGATCTTAAAGATTCTCATGCCATTCCAGCCCCTTCCTGAGTCTAGCCGCACATTTGGCCCTTGGAGGTCCTTATACTAAATTCCTCTCATTCTGCCTAAGAAATCCCTAGTGACATTTTCTTCCCTGGATCCAAGGAGTTGTGTTCAATCTTTACATTAAGCAGAGAGAAAAAGCAGAAAAGGGGAGTGTGCTACATGAATCTATGAGTCTATAGTGATATAAAGAAACAAATAGATGAGTGAAGGAATGGAGAAGAGAAAGCTCTTCCTTACAGAAGAATGCCAGCTAATGGTTATAAAAGGGAAGATGGAGTTAGAAAATCAATATTGGCCATAGTTGTAGTACTGATTGATTCAGGCTAGAATCAATGGATGCTAAACCAGGGAGTGAAAGTTTGATGAGAAATAAGATACTTCAGGAGATTATCTTCCCACAAGATGTTTATTAATTACAAAATGGAAGATAGAAACTTCTCAATGGAAAGAGCCTGGTAGAGTCACCTTAACCAAGTGATCAATGTGAACATGCCCGGTAATGGGACAAAGTGACAGCATGTCTCCTGATATGATGTATTGTATTAAAAGGACATGCATCACTTTTGTGGAATTCCTGCCCCTAATGCACACCCTTGATCTAACTATGAGGAAATGGTAGACAAGCCCAGATTCTGCAAGCTATCTAGCTTATAATTTCAAAATATGTCAAGGCCGTGAAAGATAAGAGAGCTAACAAACTGGCCCAGATGGATGGTTTTAAAAAGAGTTGAGAACTAAATGCAAAGGGTTGTTCAGGATCAGAATCCTGCTAGACAGGATATTATTAGAATGGCAAGTAGAATTTGAATGCGGTAATAATATTGTTTCAATGTTAATTTCTTCATTTTGTTAACTGAACAATGCTTATATAAGAGAATGCCTGCTTTAAGGAAATATCCTGAAGTATTTTGAAGTTAAAGGAAAGTCAAAGATACAGATCTCTTGTTTCCTCTCCAAGCATCTCCAGCCACTTTGAAGAACGGACCATCACAGCTGACCTGGCTATACTGATCCGGCTGCTTCCTGGTTTCAAAGATATCAGCACCTGCCCTTTGGTATCTCTCCATCACTTTTTTTTTCTTTTTTCTTTTTTGCGGTACAGGGGATCAAACTCAGGACTTGTGCTTACAAGGCAGGCATGGTGCCACTGAGCTAAATCCCCGGCCCTCCATCACTTTTCTGAAGCATCATGTTGGTCTGTCCAGCTCCTCCCCTCTCTGTTCCTTGACCCTCTCTCCTGTGTTACAGTTCTGCCACCCACATCTGCCATCAAACCTTAGACCTGTCATACCAGTAAATGGGCCTCCTCCAAAATGCCACCAGTAGCAACCACCAGGTCCTGTCTGTCCAGCTCACTTCCCTATATCCTCACTTCAACACCAGTCAACTGAGACTGATGATGATGCAGAGGATGGAAAATGTGGCACTGCCATGGCATGCACCCAGTACTAGGGACTGTCCCCAGTTCTTGATCCACTTGTTGAATCCTCATAACAGATCTAGGTATGGGCATTGTTAGTATCTCCATTCTACACATAGGGAAATCAGAGAACAGAGTAACTAAGGCACCTGAGATTAACAGCTGAGGTTAACTCAGCTGTTGCAGGTTGAACTGAGATTTGAATCCAGGCCAACTGGATACAGAATCAGAAGAAGGTTCCCCATTCCTACTATCCATTGTCACATTCTCACTCCTTCTGATTCCATGGCTCTCTGTGATATTTCTTCCCTTGCAGACAGCCCCTTAGTCTCTCTTGTTCTCTGGGTTCTCTCTGAGCACTACCCCAGGCTGGTCACATTCGGCCCTCTGCTTCTTCCATGCCTGCACAGGAGCAGCTGTACATAGGCTTGGGCACTGGTGCACATTCTGTATCTACATGACCTCAACCCCCAGAAGGCCCTGATGCCAGCCTGCAGCCTGTGGCACCTCTCTGGTCTGCTCACTCTCCTCTACTCCTATAGCTTGCCATTTCTCATCTTCCCTCCCCTCGCTAAGGCTCCTGACTTAGCATTGTGTTTCTCCAAGAAAATACAAACCATAAGTAAAGAATTTTCTCCCTGCAAGAGAATGGCAAGTGTCATCCAGTAGAAAGGCAGGCTCATGAAAACATTAATGTGTTCTCATCCATGTTATTAACTGGATCCAGTATCATACAACTTCTGGCTCTTTCCCAAACTCAAAATGACAATGAAAGGTAAATGTTTTGAATTGATTCATGTTATGGCTTGTGTCTAGATGTCCCCCCAAAGCCTCATGTGGTCATAGGTGGGGCTTTTTCAGAGGTGGCTGGATCTAGAGTGTGTGATGCTGGAGTTGATTCATGGTACAATGGTAGGATTAAGGGCACTAGGATTGAAGGTGTGAGTGCTACCTGCCCTAAGTAGCCTGGATAAGATATAAGGAATAGAAAGAGCTGTGGTCGTCCCTTGTTTGCTTTGCTACCTTCTGCCTGCCATGAACTGTTTCTCCTGTCGATGCCCGTCTGCCGTGCCACCCTGCCTTGGAGCCAGCCGACTATGGACTGGACCCTCTACACACTGTGAGCCAACTAAACCTTTCCCCTTTAGCTTTGGGCGTTGAGTATTTTGTCTCAGCAATGAGAAAAGTAACTAACACAATTCAGGACATCGAGACAGCCATGACAGTGCAACTAAAGACACAATGAAGGATTTCCAGAACTACTTCAGAAAGTGCCAAGAAAAATGGGATAAGTGCGTTTGAAGTAAGCGAGAGTATTTTGAGAAAGATTAATGGCATTCGATTTTTAAAAATTGAAACATTCATTATCTTTTCCTTGCACACTTTGTAGTCTACCCCCAAATACTCCATTTCACCAAGCAGCACTCCCATCCACCCAGTTAGCCCACATCAAAACCCTGGAGTCAGTTTTGACCTTTGTCTTTCTCTCACACCCCATGTAAAATCTATTGGCAAACCTGTTGATTTTTCCCTTCAAAATGCAGCCAAAACCCAGTCCCCCCACATCCACAGCTGACAACCCAGTCAAGTTCTGGCTCCTTCCAATGGACCCCTCTCGGGTTTCCAATACATAACTCTTTCTTGCCCCTCCGATCTTTTCTGAACCCAGTGGTCTGCATGTTTCTTTTAAAATTGCAGATCACGTGGCATTACATCTCTCCTCTGCTCAAAACCCCAATACTTGCATTTTTCAAAGTAATACCCAAAGTCCTTACTGGGGGACACCAAACCACAGTAGAGGCCTCATGCCTTGTTCTTTTTTTTTTTTTTTTTTTTTTGGTACCAGGGATCAAACTCAGGACTTTGCGCTTGTGAGGCAGGTGGCAGAACCACTGAGCTAAATCCCCAGCCCTCATGCCTTGTTCTTTTTGAATTCATACATTATTTTATTGAATTAATCAATTACTCCTCCAAATCCTGGGAAGTCCGAATGTTACCTCAAATGGAAAGGCTGAAGCTCCAAGAAGTCACATTGCCCCCGTGGGGACTCTGGTAGGGACAGAGCTAGGATACAAACCTCAGTCTTGGAAACCAAGCCTAGTAATCTTTCTCCTAAAGCAGGTCGGGATACTGAGATCTCACATGGGCTGTGCTGCTAGCCTGCTGGGTGATTTGGAGGCAGGATTTTGTTAAATTTCCCAGACTAGGCTCAAACTTGGAATCCTCCTGCCTTATCCTGAAATCACAGGCATGTGTCACCAAGCCGGTCCAAACCTAGTCTTGACAGTGTCTCCCATTGAAGATCACAGAGGTCACTACTGACACACTGTGACTGGTTTAAAAGAAGATACCCCAAGCAACTTGCTGGAATCACTGCCAGCAGGGCTCTGGGAACTCATTCTGTTTTCACACTTTATATACATACCATAATTACCTTGTAACTGACACAGTCCCACAGGCTCATAGTTTGGAAATTAAAGTACTGATTAAAATTCAGCATAGACCACTTTTTCTCAACCCAATTTGGGCCTGTCTTTGTTTTGTTTTGTTTTGTTTTGAGTTTAAGTGGTTTTTCTTTTGTTTTGTTTTGTTTTGGTACCTGGGATCGAACTCGGGTCCTTGTGCTTGCACAGCAGGCAGCGAAACCACTCAGCTAAATCCCCAGCCCTAAATGACTTTCATTCTTTTTTTTTTGGTACCGGGGATTGAAATCAGGACCTTGCACTTGCAAGGCAGGCAGCGGCCCCGGCCCTGTTTTGTTTTATTTTGAGATGGAGTCTCACTGTGCAGTTCAGGCTGGCCTTGAACTCACTATGTAGCCCAGGCTGGCCTTGAACTCATGACGATCCTTCTGCCTCAGCCTCCCAATCCTGCTGGAACTACAGGTGTGCACCACCACACCTGGCTCTGTCTTTGTTTTTAAAACCCCAAATCTTTACCCCAAGGAAGCAGTGGGCACCCTCCCTCCCTGTTTCTCACCCCTCTTCTCCCAATTCCCCCCTCACAGTCCCCCATGACTCACTTTGAAGACTTGCTTGTAGGTCAACCTCACGGCACCAAAGGCTGTCACCTCCACCAGCGCCATTACTGCCAGTTGCACCAAGTTGGCCCTCCCCAGGACAGCACCTGCTGAGATCAGCACTGACATGGCACTCATGGTGGCCAATCGGATACTGGTGGAGAGAGGGAGAGCCAAGTGACCAGGAAAAAAGACGCTTCTCATTCATTCACTTGCTCCTCCCACCAACACCTTCTGCCTGCCCCTGCTGAAGGCATGAAGGACAAGAAGACCAGGTTTCTACCACTAGAAAGGCTGCTCTACAGTCCCAAGAGTCCTTCATCCTGTCCCATACCAGGGTAGCATCTGTGCTCTGAGGTACAGCTTTGCACACACTCATCCTACTGAAGCCACTTCAAGGCTTTCACATATATGTCACTGAGTTAAGGTCTCGTTCTGGGATCTGACACCTGGGATTCTGCCCAGTGCCCTTCTTATCTGTCCTCACTGCTCACAGATGCTCACTAGAGGGCGCTTTGCACCTGCTGGCCTGCCTGCTACTCGGTCACCTGGCGACTTCATCTTCCCGCCTTTTCCTGGTGGTGGAAAGAGACAAGTTTGGAAAAGTATAAGCCTGCCTTCCTCTCCCGGCTTTGCCACCTGAGCAGCTATTTCATCTCACTCTGCCTGTTTCCCCTTCTGCAAAATAAGAATGATAAGCCTACTTATCTCATAGTGGTGGGTGGGGATTTGAAGGAACAGTCTCTGAATATGTGTATTTAGCACCTAAACAGGCACGAAGAACTCATCATGAATAGAAGCTGGCATCATGAACACTGTCATGTCAGTAGTCCCTTTCTTCCTTTGACAAATGAGCTTGGAGCATTCTCAGTGTGGGGATTCAGGAAGAGAAAATCTTTTCTTTTTCATTTGAGACAGGGTCTTGCTGTGTAGTCTACACTGTCCTTGAGCTTGCTGCGTAGCTCAGCCTGGCTCTGAACTAGTGACCCTGCTACTGCAGCCTCCCAAGTGCTGGGACTGCAGGTGTGTACCACCACACTGGCTGAGAAAGCCATTTTTTGACATCTGGGGAGCTAGGACTTTTCCGACATATGCCTGTTAAGAACGTCTGTGCTGTGTCACAAAGTAGAAGGGTTCCCTGGAATGAGACATCAGTGCCAACTGGACTCCTCAGACTTTCCTGAGGAGGTGGCAATGAACTGGATAGTCCACTTTCCCTTGAGCATCTGGGACTTCACAATGCTGCTATGACAACCACAGTACCTATGATAAAAACAATGTGCAACAGGCTTGTAATTACATCACCACATTTAAATGTTGATGCTCTGAGAAACCCTCTATGAAATGGCACAGGGTTACTATGCAATTCCCCTTTTGCAGAAGAATACACTAAGTCTAGAAGAATTGACAGTTTGGGTAATGACCACCCTGCCATCTGATGACAAATGTGAGGTTCAAACCCAGTGGGCCTGGATCCCACATCTGTGCTCTGAAGTCTGGACACAGATTCCCTGGTGTTTGTTGCCAGTACAATTCCTGCTTAAGACTCAAGGACTTCTGAGGGAAGGTCAGAAAAGGAAGAGGGTATGGGGGGGTCTTACAGGGACCAGGAATTATTCAGAATAAGGTTTCATTCCACATTTCATCATGTCACACAGGCTGCGTCTCTTAAATGAGTGCTCATTTCACTGACAAAAGCTGTGTGATATTGGGCAAGTTACTTAACCACTCTGCCTCTGTGCCTCAGTTCCTAGAACATGGAACAATGCCTCTGGAGCTGTTGTCAGGGCAAAACAAGTTAATACATGTAAAGTGCAGTAGAGGGGTTGGTTATTGCTATCTTCAACTAGACAGAGTCCTCTGAAACTTTTAAAAATAAAATTTAAAATATCACTCAGGGCTGAGGCTATAGCTCAGTAGTACAGTGCTGGTCTAAGTGTGTGTAAGGCCTGAGTTGATCCCCAGCCCGCAAATAAAATAAAATTCATTTAGAGTTCTTCTTACTTTCATTTCATTTCTTGTTTCAATAATCATTTACTAAATTCTTCCTTTATGAAGAAACAAAGAAGGGCAAAGCTCTATAAGAGAAGTGCCTGGCCTGCAGGTTCTCACGGAAGAGCCAATTCAGTGCCAGGTCAGGTGGCACAGTTTTGAGTGAGCAAGGGACAGATGGAGGCCTGGGCACCGCCCATTACCCCAGCCTGTCAGTCAGGAGGGAGCCCACTGTTCAAACCTGGAAAGCTGCTGGGGGTGGCTGTCACAGCTGTGAGGACCCAGGTGGTCTGGGTGGGCCAGGGGCACTTGCTTAGGCTGCCAATGGCTCCTTTTTGTTTTCCTGGACTGAGTCAGAAGAGATCAGCCCTGCTGTGCCTCCTGCTTGGGCCTGCTAAGGTTCAGAAGGCTGCTAGTTTGTGTGACCTTAGGCCACCAGACCAGGGCCACTACTGTCAGAATCCCTCCAGAGTTCCCCTTGGCACTTTCTAGGTAGATACCAGGGGTTAGTCAATCCCTGTAAGGCTTAGCTCTAAAAGTTTTAAAAAGAAAACATGTGGAAAGTTCCCCCAACCCCCTGCCACTGAGAAGCTGATTAGACTGTGTTTCATTTCATGAGCACTCTGGAGTCCGTGGGAAAGGTTACAGTCATTAAAAGCTATCTCTACCACTTAACTGTGTGAGTTTGGCCAAGTCCCTTACCCTCTCTGAGCCTTCATTTCCTTACCTATATTTGAGGTTGAACCCCTACCTGAAAGGGTTAAACAAAATATCTGTAAAATATCTAGCACAGTGCCTGGCTCACAGAAAGTTGTTCAATGGCAGTGCCTCAGAGGCTTTGGGGGTTACCATTGTCTGGGCAGGATAGAAATTCAAATTTGGATAAAAGCTCTTAAGAGGAAATGTTACTTAGTTCCTCTTATCAAATGCCTTTTTAAAGTATGTAGAATAATCACTCAGATTAACCCAGGGAACATTTACTGACCACATAGGCTACTTTGTAGCTCTTCCTCCTCAATACCCACTCGTTACCCAGGTAACCACTATGCTGACTCCTAGTATCATGGTTTGGTTTAGTTTTTCAAGTTTGTAGCATCTCCAGGCATGGCTGGATGGCTGGTTCTCATCCACCATCATCTGAGGACTGACAGTCCTTTCTTTTTTTGAGGAGATGGTCTCTCCTGGTGTGGCATTTCTGTTTCTTTTGATCTATTCTCTCTCCCTCTCTTTTTCTGTGTGTGTGTGTGTGTGTGTGTGTGTGTGTGTGTGTGTATGTTATGCTGGGAATTGAATCCAGGCCCTTGTACATGTTAGGCAAACATTCTGCCACTAAGTTACACCTCAACCTTTTATATTTTATTTTGAAACAGGGCCATGCCAGGCTGCCCAGGCTGGCCTCAAACTTGGGATCCTCTGTCTCAGCCTCCGGGGTAGTTGGGATTATAAGCATAAACCACTGCATCCAGCTCTTTCTTAATGTTATACAAACCTATGTTGATTGTGTAGCTTTATAAAAGTAATAATCGATAGTAAAAAACTGTGAAAGAAGCAGAGAGGGCTGTAGATCTGGAGGTGTTGTGATACCACCCAGCTGAGGTGTCAGAAAAAATCTGAGATGCCCAGTTAAATTTGAATATTAGATAAACAATGAATAATCTTTTAGAAGTATGTCCTAAATATTGTATGGCATTTTTGCTAGCGAGAGAGGAAAATAATCCCAACTCTTTTAGAACTCCATGGACCCCGTGTCTTCAATGACCCAAAGCAACCCAGCTACCATTGGTCACCTGGACAGTTTGATGGTCACCTTCCCGTGAAAGGGTTGGCTCAGGAAGCCATCCAGCAGGACTGCCCACTGCACACCAAGGGCCAGCGTGAAGAGGTTGAAGGCCACACTGCTCCAGCCATGTCTCCGCAAGTATGAAGTGAGGAAGCCCAAGCCAAGGGCCGCCATGATGGTAAAATCCTGGAGGGCTGCTCAAGGAGGAAAAAGGCCAAGGAAAAGAGGAAGCAGATAAGAGAGAGGGAATATGAAATGAGAATTCATAGAATGGCAGCTAGAAGGGACATTTGAGGTCATCTAAAGTACTTGGTCAAGTTACTTTGTTTCTTTGGGCTTCATTTTTTTCTTCTGAACAATGAGGATAGCACACCCATACCAGAGGGTTGAGGTGAGAATTAGGTGAGCTAATGCTGGCTAAGCACTTCAGAAAAGGTCCATTGTGAGTGCTCAGGAAATGCAGCAATTATTGTTATTAATAAGCACAATGGCATGAGCAAGCGTAGGGCATCAGGATCTATGCTGAACACATAGTTGACACTCAGGAGAGGTAATTGCTGGCTCTGATTGGGGATCGGGTTCAAATCCCTGGCCATGCTCTTGAGAAAATAAAGCCACAGCAGCTGAGTGACTTGGCCCGGATCACAGAGAAAAGAGGAAGCAGAAGCAGGCCCAGAGCTCCTGTTGGCAGAAAACAGCTCTCTCCCTTAGCCACCTGCTTCTAGGGACCTGGTGGGCCAGCAGAACACACCAGGGCCACCTGAATTGCCCTCACTTTTCCTGGCCTCAGAGCCTGAGGAGGGACCGCTGAGGCAGGTGACTGGAAAAGTCATATCTGATGGCAGGGAAAGCCCAGCAGAAGGGAAAGGGGAGCACTACTTTGGTTTTACTCCAGTTTTTTTGTTTCTTTGGTATCAGGAATCGAACTTGGGACCTTGTGCTTGTGAGGCAGGCGCTGGAACCACTGAGCTAAATCCCTAGCCCTGACCCCAATTTTGAGAAATAGTTAGCAGCTTGCACTCAACAATGAACAAACATGAATGCAGATGAGGGCACTAGTGGTATGGTCTTGATCTAATATTCAACCTTTCTGAGCTTTAATAACAGCCTAGATTTATTAAGTGTTTACCATGTGCTAACCGTGTTTTAATTACTTTACACAGACCAGACCATCTTCTTTTGTCTTTGCAACCAACCTTTGAGGCAGGTGCAGTGACTATCACCATCTTACAGATGTGCAAACCAAGGCCTAGTGGAATGAGTAATTTGGCCTCGTTGGTAGAGCCAGTATTTTTGTGTGTGTGTGGTGGGGGGTTACTGAGGACTGAATGCAGGCCCTTCACACTGAACTACACCTCCAGCCCCATTTTTTCATTTTTATTTTGAGATAGGGTTGTGCTAAGTTGTTAACTTGCCCAGGCTGGGTTAGAACTTGCGATCCTCCTGTCTCAGTCTCCCAGAGTGCTGAGGTTGCAGACATGCACCACCATACATGGCTAGAGCCAGGATTTTAACCTACACAGTCTCGTGGAGCTGTGCCTTTGATCTCCACACTCCCCGTCTCTGCCCTGTTCCTGTTTGCCTCTTGAATGGGAAAATAATCACACTCCCTCATCAGGGGGCCAGAATCAAATGGTACAATGCACATAATGGCTCAGAAGAGTAAAGGTCATTTTATCAAGAATCACCAATTAGGGCCGGGGATTTAGCTCAGTGGTTGCGCCACCTGCTGTGCAAGCATAAGGACCCGAGTTCGATTGAGTTCGATCCCCGGTACCAAAAAAAAAAAGAATCACCAATTATTTTTACACATGTATGAATGTCTGGAGAGATGTCGTGGAGGATTTTTTTTCTTCTCATAGATATTATCTCTGGATTTGGGGGATTTTTTACTTTCTTTTCAGTGTGTAAATTTTCTGAAATTAGTATATAGATAGTAAATTTTTTTTAAAGCATTGATCTTAAGTTCAGACAGTTCTATTTGATCCCAGTTCTGTAATTTCCTATTGGTTTAACTTTGTTCAATTGCTGACAGTTGGCCATTTTTGACCTTTAAAGTCATCTATTTATATGTTTCAACCTTGTAGCCTTGTATGTTTCTTACTTTCCTCATCAGCTGAATAGGGGCAATTAACTCACCTTGGAGAGTGCTGGGAGATCTGACAGAAATACTGTTTCATTCAAGTGTTTAGTGCAGGACCCAGCTTGTGAAGAACATTCAGTAAAACACTATTCATCATCATCATAACGATAATCACCTCAATAAGAACTCACCTGCCTCTGTTCTCCAGGCCCAGCTCTGCTAACAGCAGGAAAGCTCTTATTTCTGAAACTCTCCAGAGTCCCAGAAAGCTCCTTGATTAACATGGATCCTCAAAGTCACGTCCATTGAAGAATACACACACCCAGGCCTGGCACATAGCACTTGGGTGAGTCTTGCTATTTCCAAATCCCCAGGACAGCACAGGGATGTAGGAGGCCCCTGAGGAACAATCAGGCACACCTCCCTCCCATGAGATCTGATGACTTGGGGAGTGGGTGAGAAGTGGGTATTAGGGAGGATTTGCTCTTTGCACCTTCTCCCTGGCATGGGGGTGGTGGTGGTGAGGTCAGGGAATGTTCCATCTCCTGCTTGCATCCTCTTGGCAGTGAGGCGGGTAGGGAACATTTTGCAGAAGGGTTCTTCTTAGGATTGTTCAAATGCCCTCAGGAGCCAAGCAGGAAATGTGGGTATGAAGGTGCAGTGTACATTTGGGAGTGGTGAGGTTTGTGGCCAACTGGAAACTACACAACCCAGTTGAGATATTTATATTCGACCTTTTGTGAGACACTCCTGTTAAACAAAACTCATCTGCCATTTTGTAGCAATGCTACACGCAGAGAGTCCAGACATATTGAAGAGTCCATGGGTAGGGAGAGTCCTCCATTTTCTTCCCATTTTACCAAAGAGGACCAGAGAGAGCCCATGCCTTCCCAAGCCCATAGAGCACACCTGCAGTGCACCTCAGCTTTAAACTCCTGGTCCAGTGTCCTTCTACCAGGCCAGGCTATCTCTAGATTTTTTTTTTTTTTTGAGTTTTTGTTGTTGTCGTTGTTTGTTTGAGAAAGGTCTTGTTATGTAGCCCAGGCTGGTCTCAAACTTGTGGCAATTCTCCTGCTTCAGCTTCCTGGATGCTGGCATTACAAGCATGCACTACCAGCCTACCTCATTGTGGTAAAGGACCTTAGCAAAGTCTCTTGCTCTCTCTGGGCCTCAGTTTCCTTCTCTGGAACCCATAAGAGTTGAGCTTGATATTCTCTGGACCCTTAGAGCTCTGGAATATTTTGAGGAAGGGGAAGGGGAGGGTGAGAAGAGAAGAGAAGAGTGATGAGGGCAGAGGTGGCTCTGAAGGTTAAAAAGTCAGAGGGTGGTGGTGAGGGTAGGGGGGATTTCTGTCAGCCCCGCTGCTGCCCTGATATTGGGCTCATGGTCTTCATCCAATGCCCCACGTCATCTCTGAGGCAGGAACCATACCCCAGCCATGAAGATGAAATTAGGGCAGCAGTTTCCAGGAGTGGTCGACTGAACCCATGGACCCCAACCGTTCAGTAAGTAACATTTGGTTTCAGGGCCCCTCTTTCCATGCCCCCAGCAACCTCTCACTTCCTGTCCCAGCCTCCTGGGGCTCCAGATGCCCTCTTCTCACACCTAGTTCCCCAGAAGTCAGCCTCCCCCACTGCTCTGTAGCCACAGCAGTGGCCGGTCACCCCTGATAAGCAAGTGGACTGGAAGGTGTTCAGGGGTGATAAGGGGTGCATGTGCTTCAGGGGCCCCTGGGGGCTGGGCCAGTCAGGAACGTTACAGTCTAAGTCAGGCCTTTGGGAGAAGTATGTGAAAACCCCATGATTTGGAGACAGAAGGTCTAACCTGGGAGCACAGCAGTAAGAGGAGGCTATCATTAGCATCATGGGAACAGCAGGTGCACAGAGGGCACCTCTACTCACAGCCTTTATCCACAGCAGCCTATTCGCTGGGTACATCTACTGTCCCCATTGTATACCTGGAGAGAGGGAGGCAGAGAGGGCCGCCATACTCACCCAGGTCACACAGCTGGTAGACTGTGGCAAGAGGATTTGAGCTCTGATTATCTGGGCTAAACCACTATGCCATGCAGAATATATAGTGCAATAGGGGAGCATGGGCCACTGAGTCAGGGTGTCAAGCTTCAGAGCTTCCCTGTACCTCTCTGTTTTAGCTTTCTGATCTGTAAAGTGGGTATGAAACATGGCACCTGCTCAGATTGCTGTGGGCATTGCTGGCTTGTGCAAGTCACTCTGCCCATCCGTGGGTGCATAGTGTCAATAACTACTGCCTCCCTATGCCTGCCACTTATTAGCTGTGACTTTAGGCAAGACAGTTTCCTGGCCTGGCCTGATGTTCACTTGCAAAGAGTTCATTTGGATAACTGCTGTTCAGCCCTGCATGTCCATCCACATGAACAGTTATCTGCTCTGGCCTGCTGCCCACAGGCATTCCGGATCTGCCCCACCCACTATGGCAGCTCCCCTGGCCTGCAGAAACTTGAGCACTGACAGCTCTGAAGTGCCAGGCTTTGGGCTGGGCTCCACCCTGTGCTCCCCCCAGCAAACTGATAGGACCTCTGCAGCTTGGGGACCATCCATGGAGCCATATGCTGCCTCCCTCCCCCATTATTCCCACTCACTCTCATCCAGCAGCAGCCTGGGAAGAGAAAAAGATTTCGTTTCCCAAAGGGGCAGCCCAAGGTTGAGATGTGGGAAGTGCCAGGGTTTGGGTATTTTCACGTCCCTTGGAAATCCTTTGTCTTTTTGTATCCCAGGTGGTGTCTATAGCACAGGACCCTGATTTGCAGTAAGTCAGTCTGGCTTCAGTAGTTCTCAAACTTTCATGTGCATTAGAATCATTCAGAGGGCTTGCTAAAGCACATATTGCGGGACCCCATCTTCAGAATTTCTGATCAGTAGGTCATAAATTTCCAATAGGTTCCTACAAACCCTAACCCTAACCCTAACTTACATTTCTAAGAAGTTCTAATAAGTTTCCAGGGGATGCAGAAGCAACTGGTCTGGGGACCACATTGGAAACTACAGATGCAGGCTATTCTAAAGGTGCTTGTAAAGTTTGCAAGTCTGAAATTATTTAATATTCAGATCTTCTCAGAAGCCTCTCTGCACTTGTTCAGAATGCCAATCTCAAGTCTCTTAGTTTTGGAAGGTGTCCGGGACATGGGGGATATTAGATCACGGTTTCTTCATATTTATAATATAGCAACGAATGTGAAGTTTTTAAAAAATTTGCCTACTATGGAAAATTTTAAACCTAGAGAAAATACCATAGTAATTCTACGTACTGGTTTCTACCATGGAACCAATCTTATTATTATCTTTCTCTACTTTTTATTTTCCTCTGGAAAAAGGCAAACCTTCAACATAGAGCAATTTTAATATGCTTCTGTAACTGATAGAGCCTTTACAAAGCCACTATGCTTTTATCATGCCTAACAAAATTAGCAACCATTCCTGTATACCATACAATATTAGTGCTACATTCAAATTTCCTGATTGTCTCAAAAATATCCTCTTAGAATTGGCATGCTTGAATAATTTATTATCATTTACATGGTCTTGATTAGATTAAATGGATTGACAGATTAAGTTACCTCAGTTTGACTTAACTCACCTTCACAAAGTAGACAAAAGGCTTAAACAACTCCTTCAAAGAAATACAGATTAGAGGCAGAAGAATAATGACAGCCAAGTGAAAACAGGAACAGAGGAGAGCCATACTTCCCCTGTGCCAACCCTTTGCCAGCCGCATTCCAGGTTTAAAAATGTTAGTCTAGGGGCCGGGGATTTAGCTCAGTGGTTCTGCTGCCTGCCTCACAAGTGCAAGGTCCCGAGTTTGATCCCCGGTACCAAAAAAAAACAAGACAAAATAAAACAAAATGTCAGTCCAATCAGACCTGACAGGAAGTCAACCAAGGCGATTTGAAATGATTAAGAAAATGCTGAGGAATGGATGTGCATCCACTATCGTCAGTGGTAACAATGGAGCCCACCTGGAGATTGACTGACACCCTCATGATTAGTAGTTTGAAAATAAATATTTCATTTTAATTTCCTCTAAATTTTTAAATGTATATGTATTAAAATGTACTTCTCTTTCTTTTTCTTTTTTTGAGGTAGGGTCTCACTGTGTTGCCCTAGCTGGCCCTGAATTTCTGGGTTCAAGGGAGCTTCTGCCTCAGCCTCCCAAGTTGCTCAAACTACAGGCATGCCTCAGTGGTGAGGCCCAGCTTAATGTACAAAAGATATTAATGCAGCAGTATCTGAGGATAACATATAAACACAGAACATGCTCAAAATATAGTGTGCACAATCAGCAGTTTAAAGTCTTCTGGTTGATACTATAAGACAACCTCCACACTGGTCTCAGGGCCCTTGTCATGACCTGTCCCGTGCCCACCACTAGCCTGGAATGGCTTTTTCTATAGCCCAAACTCAAGCTTATCATATTCCTGCTTCTTGCCAGGTCAGGAGAACAAAGGTCAAACTCCTTACTCAACCTCATGGGTCCACCACCACCTGCTTCCCTCTTTAGGTTCCAACCACACTGCATGGTTGAACCGTGCCCCAGTCCACCCTGTGTGTGTGCACACATAGGGCTCCCATAGGGCTCTCACATAGGGCTCTCGGTCCTTTCTCAACTCCTACTGAGCCTTCTAGACTTGGCTGGACAGTCACCTCCCTCCAGAAGCCCTCCCTGACAGCATGGTCATCCTTGCCTGGGTTGTAAGTCCTCCTCTGTGCTTCCCTACAAAGTGAGCATCTGAGGAGACTATGAACCTATTTTAGCAGCATGGTATAGGGGTAAAGAACACAGGCTCTGGTGCCAATCTTTAGGTTTGGATGAGTGGTTCCTATACCTACTGGTTATGTGACAAGTATCTCAATCCTGCTGTAAAAAGAGGTCATGAAACACAATGGTTAAATGTATGGAAATGAAAATCAGGATGCCTAAGTTCAAATTGCTGGCTGAGTGACCATGGGCAAATCACTAGTTTCCTGATGTGAAAAGTGGAGGTGCTAATAAACCCTACCTCATAGTGTTGCTGTGAGAGGTCAATGTGAAGCATTTGGAATGGGATCTGCTATGGAGTAAGTGCTCAATAAATGTCAGCTCTAGTCTTCATGTGCCTGGACCCTACACTGGATGTAAGACATGACTGAGAGGAGAAACAAATGAATGCATTGAATTGGAATGAATATTGTATTGGATTAAAAAGAACTAAAGTAAATTGAAATGCATTAAAATTACATCCAGGTCTTGCTTGTCTGGCACTGACAGCCAGCTCAGAAAGCGGTGTAGATTCCCTCCCTATATCATTTCTCTCCTAAATGTCTCTGCAGGGGTTCCTGGATATCTTCCTTCCCTTTGTGTCCAGTTAACTAGTCAGTTCACAGCACATAGGAACAAGCCAGCACTCCACCAGGCTAAGGCTCCATCTTCACTTTATGGACAGACTAAGGAGGCCCATCCACTATCACAAGCAACTGATCAGCCCACTGGGATGCTTGAGATGCATCTCAGTTTTTTAAAAAAGCAAAGCCACACCACTGTGGGCATCTGTCTTGTTATAGTTGTTCTCATCACTGTCTAGGGATATTTTTAGCTGCACATAAAATAACCACCATCCTGTACTCCCCTTTAGCCATTCCTCCTGGCTCAGATTTGCAGAAAGAATACAGACTTCCCAGCTCCTAAATGAGAAGAAGGCAGAGGAGAATGGGCAATGGAGTGCAGAAAAGAGCAAGAGACACCTCCCAAAGGAGAATGATTTGCAGCTAAAGAGAAACGTGGGAGGGGAAGCAGAGAAGCAGAAGATTATTAAGATCAACTTGGAACAGGGGATTTGGGGAACACAGGAGAGAAGGACCCTCACTCCGCATGGACAAATTCAGGCAGGCTTCACAGAAGAGGTGGTGCCCAGGTGAAGAAGAAAGAAGAAGAAAGAAGAAGAAAGAAGAAGAAGAAGGAGAAGAAGAAGGAGACCGAGAAGGAGAAGGAGAAGGAGGAGGAGGAGGAGGAGGAGGAGGAGGAGGAAATCCTTTCCTCGGGAACTCTGTAGAAAGGAACAGCTGTGCCCTTGAGAACCACAGACCTCTCCTGCCCCTGCGCCCACTCCTTGTTGGCTCTATGACCTCGTCCTCAGTGAACTCTCACCTTGATAGGTCCCCAAGAGCTTCTTATCCTTTGGCGAAGTGTCATAGGAGGTGAAAAAGGCGAAGATGAGAATGAAAGCTGCCTCCAACGTCAAGACGCACAGGGGCAGGCAGCAGCGCACAGACCGCGGGTAGTTGGAGCCCATCCTGCGTCTCTCTCCGCACGGGATCCGCCAGCGCCAGCTTCATCCGCGTCCCCGCACCCGCTTGAGGCACCAATAGAGGAGACACGCGCCAAAACCTTATCTCAGGCCACAAGGCTGGCTCCTCTGGCCTGTCTGTTGAGTTAACATGAAGCAGAAGGACCAATAGGAGACCGGAGAAGTGATGCATTTCTTCTGGCGTCATAAATTCATCCAACATGTAGTTTCTGTGTTCCTACTCTAAGTTCTTCCTGTGCTCAGTTTAAAGGAGGGAATTCTATTTACTCCACACCCAAACATTATAACCCTCCTTTCCTCATTATTTCAGTTCATCTTCACCAATTCTTGTCTTAAAGGTAGGGAATGGGTGGGCTGTGAATACAGCTCAGTGCAAGAGTACCTGCCTCACATAGGTGAGACCCTGACTTCCATCCCTAGTAACACAGAACAAACAAACAAACAAACAAATGCAAGGAATAGATCAACACTCCTGTTTTGCAAAAGGGGAAATAGGCTCCAAGGGAACTTTAAATTGGCAAAATTTTGCTTTAAAATTGTACCCTCAGCTAGACGTGACACATATCTGTAGTCCCAGCCCTCTGGGAGGCTAAGGCAGGAGGATTGCAAATTCAAGCCCAGCCTGGGCAGTTTATCGACTTAGTGAGAACCTGTCTCAAAATAAAAAATAAAAAGGGGCAAGGATGTAGCTCAATGTGAAGACCGTGGGTTCATTCCTCCATACCATAAAATATTAAAAATTATTTTTAAAAGTCTTACTCTATAACAGAGAGGGCACCCAGTGAGTCCTTGTCAAGAACATTTTGAATGAAAGGAATAAATGAATGAGAGGAAAGCACCATACTAAGTGGTGGGGAAGACCTGATTGCTCAGGTAACCAGTTAAAATGACTTATATATTTGAATGTATATTTCAGTCTATTCATTTTAATGGGAAACAGAGGTTTAAGTTTGGCTCTAGTAAAAACCTGGAGGGGTACTGATCCGGCCCTGTGCTGGAAGTTGGCTCCACCTCCTCTTACCTCCTCACAGAGCAGCCAAGGACCCTGCCGGGGGCATAAAATACCACAGTGCGTTTGAGGAAGGCCACCTGCCTCAGCACCCCTTCCCACAGCAGGGATTTAAGGGGGGCCTGGGATTTGTCCTGACCCCGCAACTAACTTTTCCTGTGGCCCTATCCATGTGCTTAGCACAAGGTCTGTTCTTAATAAGCACCAAGGAAGGAAAGGAGGAAGGAAAAGGCTGGCTACTGAGTGTACACTGAATGTGTGGAGTCAGAGAATAAAGCCAGGCTAGGAGTATAGGGAGGCAAATTTGCACTCAGCATGTGTGGATTGACCATTATTACACCTGTCCAGGAAAACAGACTGCTCATGTGGTAGTGAGAAGTCTGTAACGAGATGATTGCTAGCAGAAGCTGTTGGTTACTTATTAGAGATGTCTTGTAACACCCAGGAGGATCTTGTCATTTGGTTTATAAATGAAGAAATTAAGACCCAGAAAGGCCATATCCAAGGTCATACAGTCAGTTAATATCAGTCACTTCTTGCTCAGTACAGCTTTATTCATAGAAATAAAAATTGAGAATAACTTAAATGTCCAATATCAGGGGATTGGTTAGGTAAACAATAGAACATACAACTTGTCATCAATATGATGGTTCTGAACATATGCAAGAAAAGCCAGAGGAAAATGCACTTTATCAAAAGTGGCACATGGTGGTACACACCCATAATTCCAGCTACTTGGGAGGCTGAGGCAGGAGCATCACACATTCAAGGCTGGCCTGGGTAATTCATTGAGACTTGGTCTCAAAAAAATATATATATATATTTAAAGGCTGGGGATGTCGCTTAGAGATGGAGCACTTGCTTAACACGCTTTAAGCCCTGGGCTCAATCCACACTACTGAAAAAAAAATGAAAAAGGCACAAGATATACTATTTAGTAAAAAAGTAAGTTACAGAGCAATATGCACAGTACAGTGGTACTTGGTTCACGAACTTAATTCTTTCCACATTTCTGGTCACAAGCTAAATTGGATGAGAATCAAATCAAATTTCCCCATAAGGTCAACATTGAACCTAAACACTGAATTTGATTCAGTTCTTGTGCAATGCAGTTTGCAATCAGAATTGTGGAGCGAATTAAGTTCATGAACCGAGCGAGGTACCACTGTATATTCTCATTTTTATAAAATAATAACAATATTAGTACATGCATAGTTGAAAGTTGGCTTCAAACCAGTAAAACACTGCTTACTTTTGCCTTATACATTTTCAGAGCTAACATAAGCACTTACCATTGCCAGGCACTGTTCTAAGCACTTTGAATGTCTGAACTCAGTTAAATGACTCTCTGAGGTGAATACTATTAGCCTTAAGTTACAAAGAAGAAAACAGAGGCAGAGAAAAGTTAAGTGACTTGCCCAAGGCCACAAGGCTGTAAGTAGTAGGGCTGAAAATTAGACCTAGGCAGTCCAACACACCTGTGAGTGTTTATCCACTTAACTCTAACCCAGATTACTTCTTTTTCCAATTCTAAAAGTCTAAGAACACAGGATTCCAAGCCCTGTACTACCCCAACAGCAAATAAATACAGGAGAAGCCCCCAGAGCTCAGACATCTTCATTGTCTCCATGGTCACCCCTGGTTTTGATTTCCAGTCTCCTTCTGGCATCCAGAACTGCTTATAAACTGAGTTTCTATAGGAAGAAACTCCTCTGGGCAGGGGACAAATGAATGTGACCTGTATTAGTCTGGGCCTGGGACTAGGTAGCCAAGCACTTACCTGCCAGGGGCACCAGATGTCTGCTAAAGCAACACTGAAAACTTTCAGGCTCTCCCAGCCCCGATGGTGTGCTTACCAGCTGGCAAACTAAGCAGGGAGCAGCTGGCTCCACTGGAACCCCAGCCCTGTGCATCCCGATCCTGCCCTAGCAAGGAAGGTGCAGGGACCCACTGCTTGGCAGGGGGCTCACAGAACACAAGGTTTCCACCAATAAAGGGACAGGCCCCAGATGTTGCCTCAATAGCAAATCTGTCAGAAGTGAAGCTTTTGCTCTTGCCTCTCCCGTTTCCTGATGCCAGCTCGACATGTTTTGTCTCTAGATCTGCAAGGCAGGTCACCTGCTGCCAAAAGTACAGGAAAGCTGAGACAGATGAATCCAAAACCAAACACCACAAAATGTTAATTGATGAATCTAGCTGAGAAGCATTTGGCTTTTCAGTTCTTTCAAACTTTTTTTTGGGGGGGGGGCTGTGTTTGAAACATTTTCATAGTAAAATGTTGTCATAAAGCACTCTGTGCACCTGCTCTTCCCTCTGCCTGAAACAATTATCCAATCAGGTACCTGGTTGCTCCTGCCTTCACCTCAGATCTTTGCTCCACTGCAAATCAAGTCAGGAAGTTTCTCTGACTGCCCAGTTTAAAAAGAGCAGCACTAATGCCCTTCCTCAGATAAGGGTTCCTGGTGCTCCCCCAATTTCAGCTTCTTCATAGCCCTTACTACCATCTGTAACAGTGCATACTTTCACATTTGTAGATTGCCTATAGATCATCTGTAGATCACCCTTCTTCCCCTTCAAGAGACTGAGCAACATGAGAACAGGGATGTGGTGTTTTGTTTTTGTTTTTTTTTTTGGTGCTGGGGATAAAACCCAGGACTCGGCACACGTGTGACAAGCACTCTGCTACTGAAGTATATTCCCAGCCCTGAGAACAGGGACTTTTGACTGCTGTATCCTCAGCATTAAATGCTCAATAAATATTTGTTGAATGAATAACAGCTAGCATTTTTGGAATGCCAAGCACTGGACCAAGCATTTTGCACACATGATTTCATTTAATCTTCCCTGTAAACCTGCATCATTATCCCTGTTTTACAGATGAGGAAACTGATGCCCAGAGAGGTGATGCCAGTACCTAAAGTCACACAACTAATCAATGGCAGAGCCAGGGCCCAACCCAGATCCAGCCAACTCTTGACTACTTTGCAACTCTGCCTCCCAAGTGACTAAAGCACCTATAATCTCAGTTTCCTTATGAGTCAAATAAGATGACCTGCTCTGCTTTTCTCTCGGGTTATCACAAACGTGAAAATGTGTACACATGCCTAGAAGCTGTGTTTTACAAATGAAGGTGGGTAGGTGGTGGCCTGATGGTGGCATTCTGGCTTGAGGGGCCAGCCCCTCGCCCCCAGAAGCAGAAACTCAAGTCAGCCCACAGCTTTCTCATGAAATCATGCATTTTCTGTAAAACTGCAAACACGTGCCATGCTCTCCTCACCTGAGTCAGTCATAGTAAGGCAGTGTCCAGTGGCATAGGCAGGTTCTCCTTCCCTCCCTGGAAGTCTGTCCACACTAGGGTGTGACCTTCTTCTGAATGTGCCTGGCTAAAGGGTAACTAAGTCAACCACTCATTCATTTAACATCCATGAGCTGTGGACTTAGGCAACCTGGGTTCAACCTGGTTCTGCAATTCATGAGCTGTGTGATCTTGGGCAAGACAGTCAATCTCTCCAAACCTGCTTCCTCATCTGTAAAGTGGAAGAGATCAGTGTCAGTCTCATAAAATTGTTGTGAAGATTAAATGAGGTAGCACATAGTCGAATGTGTAGAACATACTCCAGAAGTTTAGCAACTATTATTAGCACAAAAATATGGCATGTTTACTCTACAGTAACTTTGGAAATATAGAGATACATGTAGCTTACATAAAATGTCTCTGACTTCAATAGCCCTAAAAGTAGCACATTTTGTGTGTGTATTCTTTTAGGCAATTTTCTATTCATGTGGAATTATGTCTCTTTTTTTCCCCTGCAAAGATGGGATGATACAGTACACAAGTTTCCATGCCAGGAAAATCTTTCTATGACACTATTAGCATGGTGGCTAAGAGCTTAGGCTCTGGCAGGAGACTTCTGGGGTTTGAATTCTAACTCTGTCACATACTGCCTGATCTTAGGCAAGTGACTTAACTCCTCTG